AAAAAAGCTAGAATTTCTTACTGACACTTATGTTCCGTCAAAAGTTATAACCTGCGGAAGGCGCAACGAAAAGTCATGGATTAACAAAGAGCTACGTTGCACAATTAAGAAGAAAAAAAACGGCTTGTGTTTGTAAAGTACCGACAAAATAGCGACGCTATTAATCTAGTCCGCCTGAACGAGCTTACAGCACCTTGAAGGATAAGGTGTTTTATATTGTGGAAATATGTTAGGTCTTGAAAGCGGGGTTCACTTTAGCTTTTCGTCAAGGGAGCCTGACGAAAAGCTAGAGCGAACCCCAAAAATATTTTGGAAATGTGTTAGGTCTTGAAACGAGACTTCACGGGTATTCCGTGCATTAAAAATTCCAAACGTCAAGTAGATAAGGAAAATGATAAGACGATGCTATTCAACAGTTATTTTGAGTCTGTATTTACGTTATCTATAGCGGGTGTCCTCTTTTCGTTTCGCTTTAATTTAGAAGAGAGTATGTCTGATATTGAAATAGGCCAAAATAGGATCCTTAAAATGATAAATAATCTTAAAGAAACAAGGCTACAGGCCCGAATGTGGTATCGTGTCGCGTTAAAAAGGGGTGTTCTGGTCTACACCAAGACAGTGCTTACAAGTAAAGCCCGCTTTGCCCACACCTGGTGTGGGCACTGCGCGTGCGCATAAACCAAATTCGGGAGGGGCAAAGCGTTTGCGCATGCTCAGTCCCGACAGCAGCCCCACCGCAGTGCCGTGACGACGGAGAGTTGAGCTGGTATAAATTGTCATGTTTTTCGTATGTTTTATTTGAAAGCTCAGTGCCCTCTGGCTGTCTGCCCAGTGAATGGAAAAGAGCACATGTTATTCCAGCAAACAAAAGCGGACCCAAAATAGAGTAGAGAACCATAGAACAATTTCCCTGCTGTTTTTGTGTACGAAAATACTAGAACACATAATTTACAACAACCTTGTCAGACATCTCGGTATAATTAAATTTCTCAATCCTAATCAGCATGGATTCAGACCATGGTTTCTCCTCCGACATTCAGCTAGTTGAGTTTTACAATAACATACCTTATTCGTTTGATAAAGGAGCGCAGGTAGACTACATCTTTTTTTTTTTACATTTCCAGAAAGCATTTGACATGGTGCTGCATAAATTGTTGCTGCAAAACTGTAAACTCTTAACCACGACGATAGTCTTTTTAACTGGATTAAAGACTATTTAAGAAATAGAAAACTCGCACTTCTTTTCAATGGTAAAACATCAAATTATGTAGACGTAACTTCAGGTGTCCCCCAGGGGTCGGTGTTCGGGCTCTTCTGTTCTTAATACTGCCATGCGCAGAGACGAGCAAGCAACGCTCAGTTATACACTTTTAGAAGCTTCGTGTTTATTCTTAACCAAGATTATTTTTTTTATTTCGTCCAGATTTTTTTTTTTGCTTTCGGATGTGCCTCTTCATTCTCGCCCCAAAAGCGCGTCCCTCGAACCTTCTGGGGCGAATATTCCGGAATGTGACACATCACAGATAAGGAGCTGCGCGGGACCTTCCCGAGTCAGTCTTGCTATTGATTGCTGTTACGCCGCCACTCCGCCGACCGCTTTTCTGCTGCTTCTACGCTTGTTTTTTTTTTTCTTTGTTTTCTTTGACACAAGTATGCCGATAAAACCTTTTTTCAGTTCCCTGTTCGTTCTATCCTCACCTTCATTGGTGACATTTCTGGTGGAGGTGCGGGGTACCTCAGCCTATGAAGCGTATCCCCCCGAACCTGGCAACGCAAGCCCAGTAGCCGGCTAAAGAAGATCGTTCTTCGAAACAACCTTGACCCGAGGAAGCCGCCGTGCTAAGATTTGTACCAGGAATTCGGGTCACTGCCGTAGAAAACCCACCAGTTGACAAGGCCGACAATGAGCAACCAATTGTCGCAAACCCCTGCAACCACCTTTGTCGCCTACCTGCCCGTCGCCGATTGTACGCCGACGCGCTTCCTACGGCTCTCATAAGAGATCTACAAAGACGTCGAAGACCGTATTCAACACTAAGAGCGCGTGACATGCCACAAGGGACGGACTGCCGAGTAGTACTTACAGAACCTCTACCTTTCGCTCGAGGGTGCTGTGAGGCAGTGGTTTGAGAACCACGAGGTTTGGTTCAGGTCGTGGGACATCTATGTTGGAGAGTTCAAGCGGGACTTTACGAGCCAACACCCACAGCAGCTGGCGGCAGATCAGCAGCCAACACGGATTCTGGCCTCCAAGGAAAGCGTAATGAGCTTTGGTGAAGATGTGCTACGCTTAAGTGCACCCGCAGACACGCAAGTCACCGACGAGAAAATTTGCACTTCCTTATGACAGCCGTGAAAATCGACAAATTCAGCGGCATCACTTGCAACCCTCCAACGACCGCTGACGGATTTGTTGCAGAAGCAACAAACATCGAACGGGCGCTACCGGCCCCAGCGCGCCACTACAATCGTCTGAATGACGTTTTGACTATGGCATCGGCCAGCTCCGAGTTCAGCACCAGCGCCGATGTGCTTCGCGATATCATCCGCGACGTTGTTCGCAAAGAACTCAAGAAGCTTCTGCCTGCTGTCTACACCCCAGTGTATCTGTACGTCACCAAATTTGTGCGAGAAGAATTTCAAGACAGCCATTTGAACAACGGGCTCTTGTTAACCCTGCTCCACTCCAGCAACTGATCCTGAGCCGCGCCGCCATGGCTCGACGATCGCCGCCAGCAACCCGCCATTAGCAGCACCCGGCGCCTCCTCGACGGGAAGCCCCTTCGCCAGATTACGCTCGGCACACTGAGGAACAAGCTCTGTATGTCCGAGCCGAACCCCAGGCGCAAAGGAAGACATACGTGCGGCGCACGGCTGACGGACGCCCGCTGTGCAAAAACTACGGGGATGCCGACCACATGTGTCTGGAATGCCCTTACTGGCAGCTTGGGCTTCGCGGGTTTCCACCGAGCACCCCCTGCCCGAGGAGCGGAGAACCACCGCGGGACATCGAGGAGTACGTGCATCACCCGCCGTCACCAGCACCTGCTTCCCGCCGGGGATCCCGTTCGCCCTTACCACGACGTCCGGCATCACCACTTCGCACGTCCCGCCGAGAGAGCCTGTCTCTCCTTCCTTGTCGGGGAAGCTCAGCGCTGCAACCCCTGGGTGTGCAGTTCGCGAGGACGACGGCAGAAACATCCTCCATCAAAGGTCGGAAGAACCCCACTCTACCGACGACAAGCATCCGAAAATAGATGCTGTAACGGTGCCCAACAACCTCATCGTTGTCATCAATGGCCACGAAACGTCGGAACTCGTGGACACTGGAGCAGATTGCTCCGTTTTGAGTGGAACGCTCTCGCACCGACTATGGGAAGTCATGATGCCCCCGGGACGGCCCACAAATGCCCACCGCCGGAGGACACCTCTTCACCCCTCTTTGGGGGGGGAGGGGGGGGGGGGCACTGCTCGCGTCAAAATTGACGGCGAAACCTGTCCAGTCGACTTTGTCGTCCTTCAGGATTGTAGAAAGGACGTCATCTTGGCATGCACTTTCTACGTGAGTACGGTGCCCTGACTGACCTTGGAGCAAACAGATTGACGCCGCGAAAGCCTGTACTGCCTCCGCAAGGATCCAAAACGACGCCAGCCGCCGTCCGAGCTGTTGCGGACCACGTGAACCTGACGCCGCGGTTGAGTGTTCTTGTGCCCGTCGTGACCAATGCAATCGCCTCTCTCCGCCGGACTGAATTAGACTGCCTGGCTTTGCAGGATGACAATAATAGAATTTCAAGGTTGTGCGATAATTGGGGAATGAAGCTTAGCATCCATAAATGCTTCCAGATGACGTTGACTAGTAAGCGCCAACAAGTATATTTTACGTGCTAGATCGGCGGCGTAAAACTGAAGCAGGAAGTCGTAAAGTGTCTAGGTGTTAAATTTGTTTATAATCTGTCATGGAGCGCCCACATTGACTTCATCACGGCCAAAGCCAACCGCATGTTAAACTTCTAGAGCGCAGCTCTTAGGCGCCCGTTTCCCGGTCGAGCGGCGTCACCGTCGCCATCGGCGTAACCTCGAGTTGTGTTATGGGACGTTTCCCATAATTACGTCACACATGAGGTCACCTGTGACGTCACGAGAGTAACATTTTCACGTTAAATTTTGCGGGAGATTTTTCGGATAAATATGACGGGGAAATGTTTGGAATAAATTTGACGGGAAACGTTTCTCACTAAATTTAGCGGAAAACCTTTGTGACGTCACATTTGTCGCCACCCCAATCCGAAAAGCAATTTCCGCTAAATTTAGCGGGAAGATTATCCACTAAATTCAGCGGGAAGATTTCCCTCCTAAATTTGGTGGCAAACCTTTCACGCAAAATTCAGCAGGAAAATTTAACCCTCGTGACGCAACACGTGACGTCACATCTGACGTCAGACGTGACGTCATGTCTGACATCATGTGAATTACATGTGACGTCACGTGAAGTTTAGCAAAACATTTCCCCCTACAATAAGCGGAAAAAATTACCCGCTAAATTTAGCAGGGAAATTTTTGTCACGTGCCCTCAGCACAAATTCAGCTTCCCCGCTATATTCAGCGAGAAGATGTATGTAAATTCCTGCTGAATTTAACAAAATATTTTCTCGCTAAATACAGCGGGGAAATATTCCCTAAATTTAGGGGGACATTAGCGAAATTTTCTCACTACATTGGATGTACCCAACGTTAATTATTTTCAAAAGTGGATATTTTAGTAGCAATCAAAATTATATCAACTCTTCCGGTGATAAGCGTACTTGTTGCAAGGATGATTTCACACGCATTTTGAGGAACATCCTGTATTCTATTTCATTCCTGACATTTCTCTGGGTGGCAACGGCAACGCTGCAACATCGGGGGACTTTTGTACCATTAGACGTTTTCTGCGTTGAACAGACACCAAGTGTTGTAGTATACACTTGAAATTGTGTCATTCTATTCGTGTGTCTTACCTTTGTTATAGTCGAAGAGTAAGCTCTGATGCAAGGAGTACCCAAACCAAAGCCTTGTGAAAAGTCCTTTCTGGAGAACCACCACAGAACCATGGAAAATGATATCATCAACGATGATCTGTTGAATACATTATTGTGCAAGCTGGTGTAGTTTAGAGCATCCACCTATAAACGATATATACCAATACAGCTGCAGAACGCATTAGTACAGGTGTGCCAAACACAAAACCTGTATGCCGTATTCGGCCCACCGCTGTAAATAAATATTTTTTTACCTGTGGTACGGCTAAATATACTAGCCGCACTATAGAAGTCTAAAAGAATAATGATTGGGATTAGTGATCGCTTATCGTTTCCATCTTGATCAGATTAACATGCGCGGTAAAAGTGCCCAAACAGTAGTACATACGTAATGCACCAGTGCATGGGAAGGGGGCGATGCGTAAGGGGGGGGGGGGGGGGAGTTTTTTACTTTTGTACATGAGCCTGTGTAAAACTAGAATCTTCGGCTGTAGATATTTGCTTCGAAAATAATTACATTCTTTGCACGATCGTTGGAAACCAGGAATACTATAACGCGCGTTTTGTTTCCTGGACGAGCCAAGGTAACCCATACAGCCTCACAATCATTTAGTAGCTCACAGCAGGTTCATAGTATGCAATGTGAATAACTGAGGCTCAAGTCCACGCTGCGAAAGTGATTAGACAGCGAAGCTGTGGTATCACCTTCAATGACTGCCCACTGCACTACCGGCCTTTTTTATGTGAAACGCCACCAGATGGTGTTCTAATCCCACACTGTACCGTTTGTCCTAGAAAACGTCCGGTTTATAAGAAGAATAAAGAAAACCCACATTAACACGGGTGCTGGAAATGTAGATAAAACATTTAAACACCAACTGTCCATTTCAACGCCAAAAGAACGAAGTGCGAGATCTGTAAAAAGGTTTCGGGTATACTTGTAAACCAAGATGTAATATTGTAGAACCGAGGGCCCTCGTTAGGTCTCCAACTTTTTGTCCTTGTAGCATTTAAGCGTCTTAGCCCTCGTGACTTAAAAGGATGGTGAACGGAAATTTTAAGTTTAAAAAACAATGCATAAGCAGTACGCGGGACGCTAAAATCCCTACAACACTACTCGTAGGGCGATATGTCGAATTGGAGGCCGCATTTTGGAAAAAGATGTCGAGATTGAACCAGGCCGACGCGACGCGCGACGTCAAGATATCTCGTTTCCTCCTCTCTTCGTTTCACGCCTTCAAGGCCGCAAGGCGGAGAAGACGCGAAGCCGTTTCCTTTCCCTCCCGGAGAAAAGATACGTGAGCACATCTGTCAAATGCGCCTCCTTAAAAAAAAAAAAAAAAAATACGCTTATGCGTTTGATATATTGTTGTATGAGTGATGTTTTTACGTTTGTAGCATCCCGTTGCACGCTTTTCCTGCCCTGCTTTGTGGAATCCAGATTTCGGTTTAGCATTCTTTTAAGCAAGCTCAACAGTCTTGCAAAGACGGTGCAATGGAAAGTCGCTTGGCACGCAAACAGCAAACTGTGAACAGCCAAAGGGGTCTACCAAATGATCTACAAACGAAAGGTAAATGCACTGTACCAAAACCTTCTTATATATGAAAAGCTTCGCACGCCGCCGTTGCCGCGGCAGCTTAAGCAGCTGTAATGTTTGTCGAGAAACGCACGCGGGGAGCCCTACGTGCTTATCATCGTTCACGCTCGTCTTATCACATATCACGTGGTTTTGACACTTGTTTTGTAATTGGGAGAGAGCACAAAGCGCAGGTTAAAAATTATGCGCTCCGTTGTTCTCGACGATTATGCACCAAACATGGAAGCTTATTTTGAGGAAATCGACAGCATGCCCTTAAACATCTCGGAAGAGTATCAACTTTGGAAGTACGACAGCAGGAATCAGAAGGATAAAAGGGAACTTTTAAGCACCAACCTATGTACAACAAAACTGAATACCGCGCGTTACAGAGGTCAGTATGTATCCGGTGTCCCGTGTTCTTGGTTTTGCCTAAGCACAGGGATTAAGATCGGTCGGCCAAATTATTTAATAAACAGGCTGTTTGAGTGTTCGTTTCTCTTTCTACGTTTACCTTATTTGTACTGGCTGGGGCGAATGCATCACTACTTCGTATATTACTTTATGTATCGAATTTAGGCTAGTCGTACTGTTAAAATGAGCATAAAAAGCGCTCGTGGAGTAAACACCATGGTGTTTACTCTTGTGCAAAATACCATGCCAACGGTCTCAGATATAATCACGAGAGAAACAGGGGCACTGCTGGTATAAAGATAGTATTTCTTTATCGCTCCCGTGAGTTTTGTAAGGGCATCATTGAAAACAATGTTTAAAAATATGATGTGTTTCTAAAGCTTATCGTAACGCATTGGCTCCGACATTTCGCGCTTGTTTAAGCCATACGGGCTCTTGCAGTAGACTTTTTTTCCTTGGAGAATAATGCATAAAAAATCACTTCAACAGTTAATACTTTCCTTTTTCACTTAAAAAAGAAACAAATATGAACACCGTGTCTTTCAGCCAAGGTATACAACGGCAATCGATGCTAATAGTTTTTATATGGCCTAAATTACATATATATTTTCTGGTGATATAATACGAGGCCAAACCTTTTATAGAACGTTATTTTCCAGCAACAATTTCAAGAGGGTAACTGCTCTGCTTTCTCCATATATTTTGCTTCACCTAAACATTAAGTTTAGTGACAGACGGGGAAAAGTTTAGTGACAGACGGGGACGAGTGACAGACGGGGAAAAGAATAATTTAATAAAATACTAAGCGTCTCATATGGATAACTTGTGTCCCAAACAAAACCAGAGTTACAAATGTCGTGGTCGTCCAAGGCTGCATTCAAGCTGGATCGAGCGCTGGCGAAAACCTGATCCTCCACAGCCACCGGCAGACCCATTTATAGCAAAGGTAGCTATATAGCGTTCCACCCAGAACGTACTAGAATTCCACTATGAACACACGGTAAGTTAAGGTAACTTGCAAGTTCTTTCTCTATACTTCCAGAAAGTAAACAAATAATAAATGAGGATTCACGGCTAGGATTCAAACCCGGCACTTCTGCGAGAGATCCGGTCATTCTATCGACTGTTCTACTTCGCATCAGAGGATGTGGCAATATTGCGTGTTGAGTGCATATCTGTTAAAACACCGAATATAAGTTATACTCACTATTGATACCTCGTAGGTGTTCGAACTCCCTTCATAGACGGTTGGTCCAGTCATTTTGCACTGGGTCCTATTGTCGATTGAAAGTCCTAGGTGTGTCCTAATTATAATTCCGTCCACGTGGAAAGAGCTGCAATTAAAACAGAATTGTGTTATCCTCATTGTCCTCATTGTTAACGGCTACATATGGAGAAGTTTATGTGTACTAGACTACACTTTATACTATAATACATTATGAATTCAGTTTGAACAAAGAATATGTGTGCACTCATTTCCAGTATAGTATTGTCGCGAATGAGATATAATGAAGTTCATTTATTAAAGTAGACAAAACAGGTGTACAAGACAGTCGCGCCACGGTGCGACTCTTATCTCATCTATATTGCATGGAGATCAGGTGTTGCAGCTGGCGGGCAGCACGCATTACGTCAGCCGTTTTTAATTAACATAGGCTTACACAAGCACCCCGCTACACAAAAAGTGAGGGGCCCCAGTTGCCGCTCACTTGTCTTACACTGGAATATAAAGAATAAAAACCTAAGTCGCTTCCATTTGCTAAATTTCAGACTCGATCATCTTATCCTAACAAGGTCGAGCTTGATTTGCCAGCAAGCCAAGAGCGTCCCGAAAAACAGAGGAATGAAAGAGGCATCTCACTATGATTTCATCATTTAATGAAACTGGTGCATTGTTTTCCGTAATAATAAACACATCGTCGCGAACCACAAAACATTGTAGGCGCAGATACACAAAAAAACATGGCACTGTGTTACCATCGTTGCCCTTACGCTTCGTGGACACAATTTAATGAAATCTTTAAAGCCTTGCGGATCGTATCGCATCCCAGGTAGCACGCCAGAGGAATGCCCAACTTGGGCAAAGGTCTGGCAAACATAAGGGCCCAACTTTGGCGCAGTTAGGTTTTTGCACCATGGCATTCATCAGTGCCGAAGTACGGTGCCTAACTATAGCCTTAGTTGGGCGATCCTATGGCATGCCAAAGTTTGGCTCTTCTCCGGTACGCCAGAGGAGTGCCAAAGTTGGTGCCATACTTGAGCCATAACTGCCATAGTAAATCCTAATCTGAGAATTCGGGGCATGCCAAGGTTTGGCATTTCTCTGGTCTGCCAGAGGAGCGCCAAAGTTGGTGCCATACTTCAGCCATAACTGCCAGAGCAACGCCTAATTTCGGTATTTGGGACGTGCCAAGGTTTGGCGTTTCTCTGGTCCGCCAGAGGAGCGCCAAAGTTGGTGCCATACTTCAGCCATAGCTGCCAGAGCAACGCCTAATTTCGGTATTTGGGACGTGCCAAAGTTTGGCTTTTCTCGGGTCCGCCACAGGATTGCCGAAGTGGTGCAATACTAGAGCTATAACTGCCAGAGCAATGCCCAATTTGGGTATTTTGGACATGCCAAAGTTTGGCGTTGCTCTGGTCCACCAGAGGAGCGCTAAAGTTGGTGCCATACTTCAGCCATAGCTGCCAGAGCAACGCCTCATTTCGGTATTTGGGACGTGCCAAGGTTTGGCGTTTCTCTGGCCCGCCAGAGGAGCGCCAAGGTTGGTGCCATACTTCAGCCATAGCTGCCAGAGCAACGCCTCATTTCGGTATTTGGGACGTGCTAAGGTTTGGCGTTTCTCTGGTCCGCCAGAGGAGCGCCAAAGTTGATGCAATAATTCAGCCATAACTGCCAGAGCAACACCTAATTTGGGTATTTCGGACACGCCAAAATTTGGCGTTTCTCTGATACGCCACAGGGTGCCGAAGTGTGTCATACTTGAGCCATAACTACCAAAGCAAAGCCTAATTTCGGTATTTCAGCCTCGCCGAGTTTGGCTTTTCTCTGGTCCGCCACAGTTGTGCCAGACTTGAGCCATAACTGCCGCAGTAAAT